CTCCAGGCTTTTTCACCACCATGTTGCCTGGCGTTGCTCAGGGCACGTCCAGATGACATGGTGGTAAAAGTGCAGGTGGCTGGACTATGCTGGCACTTTCCTCATTGCAAGCCCTGGTGAAGCTGCACCAAGACTAGTGCAGTGGCAGAAGCATTTCAGAAAGTTCTCAGCGTTCATTAGGCCAGTGGGTTGGAAACCTGCGTTTCATCCCAAATGCTTCCAAATGATACATTGCACCTGTAGCCACCCTCTGTGTTTGGGGCACCAGCAACGCAGGCAAGAAGGCTGGCATTTTCGAAGGGGGTCCAAATCCCATTGAATTTCATCAGGAGCTGGGCAGCTAACTCTGTTGGGCTCCTCTGAAAATCCCAGCTCACATGCTTAAAACGGGAGAAGAAATTGGCACTGAAGACAGTGGGACAAACCCCTTAAGTCTTTACAAAAAATGCCATGGTGCCCTATGGTAGGTTTCTCTCTCACTTACAGCCGTGTAACTCCACTGATATCAGCGGGGCTACTTCGGACTTACACTGGTGTAACTGAAAGGGAAAATTGAGCCCTCAGTGTCAATGCACAGCTGGCAGGACATGTTCTATGGTTTCAACTGAAAGCCCCCTCCACAAGTGAGCTACCTAGAACTCAGTCAGTCTGCCTCAGGAGGAGGAAGTGACTGGAACTTGGACCTGTAGCTCCATCGAGTGTAAGCAAGTCACATATGAAGGCTGGATCTGTAAGGCATCCCTCCATGCTGCTCTTCCATCCCTGCTCACTGTCTCCCCCAGCTATGCAACTATTTGCATTTGCAAAGACCCTAGTAATGCCCAGGAGTGAGAACAATCAAATTAAAAGCAAATTTAAACGGAGGATAATGAAGGCTCTTTGGGTTCATTTGGTTTCCCTGTGTCACCTGCCATATCTGGGAGGATAATTCACAGAACTAACCCACAGGTACTCAGTTCTGATAAAACAGAGTCAATAACCACCTCCTCCCGCCCCACTGTCAGGCTCTCAAATGCCACTGCTGCTGCAGAGGAGATCTCGTTCCCCAGCTCCTTGTGTATGCATTGGAATGACACCATCTGCGTCGAGTACCGATACTAGTCTTGCGTGTGGCTGGCTATGCCATATGCAAGACATACTCGCTCGACACTCCGGCACATGGGTGAGTAGGGGTTCAGGCAGCTCCACCCTCACTCTGCAAATGGCATTTGAAACAAACAGGCCACATCATTATATCTAGAATATGAATTCCACAGAGAAGAGCAGGAAAGTGCCCTCATGAGCCCATTCTTAAAAGGGTAACATTAATCCTGTGTTTACATGGCAAAGCAAAGACAGGCGATAGTAGATAATGTTTTCACCCCTCAGCTCATAGAGAGCCCGAGAAGCGATGGGTGAAAACATTATCTACTATCGCCTGTGTTTACATGGCAAAGCAAAGACGGGCGACATGCTACAAGAGCCTTTTAAATGACCAAATAGGGTTGATGGGTGAGAAATAACCCCATTCAGAACCATGCAGGGTGAGTCTCTTTCCCCCAGTCTATTTACAAGCCCAGATGATGTTTACCATTTACCATGATGTTCATGGCAGCTAATGGAAACAGAAGCATATGACTGGGGAAGTCTGAACCAGGATAGAATCCCGACCTTTCAGCAGGTGACTTGTCATCTTTTAGATTAACACATTTAGCTTACAAGTTTGTGTTGGCACCAATATACCACAAAGGATGAAAGGGGGATGTCAGTGCAGGGCTGCACCGAGGGGACTGGATGGCTTGGGGGATTGGAAATAGGATATGAAGACTTTCATATCTAGATCACTGGTTCGGGCTGCTTTCAGGATGGGGCACTATTGCATAAAACTGCAGGTCAGACCACATTAGCTACCCCTGGCACTGAAAGCTCAACCCCCACCCTCTCACTGCCAAAATAAGAGCCACACAAAGGAGTGGCTGTGTTCTCTCTCTGAGCCTTCTTTATGGTAGAAGAACATTTGCTCCTGGCTTAACTCCTTTTCCTGCCTGTACAGAGACTCTGGGTCTGAACTGCTCCCGTGTCAAGGCTGGATCCAACACAATCCCTCCAGCCTCTGAGTTTGAGAAACAAAGAAAAAAAATCATACATGCTTCAAGCCGGCAGAAACTCAAAGAGAGTGATGGCTTGCCACACACAGTCCCTGTGGGTTTGGCCCTTTCTCTGAGGCTGGTTTTTCCGTCTCTGGCAATCGGACTATGACATTGCTAGGCGGGCTCTGATGTGGTTCACTGTGTTATGAGCAAAACCGACTGGTGGTGGTAATGGGGTGAGGGACAGGGGATGGAAGGGGGATAGTGCTGAGATCACCAGCCTTGTATTTTTAGAGCACTGTGAAAAGTCATTATTGATGGCTCAGGCTGAAGACGCTTTCACAGCGACTCATCAAACCACGGGGGAAATTAACGCAGCTTCCATTTCTGAGATGAGTTATTGCCTCTGCAAACACGGCCAGATTTAGAGCAATTTCCTGCCAAGTATATTCATTGTGGCTGGAGGAATCCCTGAAAACTCCCCCAAGCTGTGAAATACTCCCCATTGCTTTTGGCTGCTGGCTTCAGTGTGGCGATGGCTCCATTTGTGGACTGGTGGACAGTGGGTGAGCACAGAGTGGGCCCTTCCTGCATTGCACAGCAACCCATGGGGCAAAGCTAAGACACAGTGGAATAGAACCAGGGTGACTCCTATGCAACAGGGCCCTGAAATGCCGTCAGTGCGAGTGGAGGGACACGGACGGCTCAGGGAAGCGGAAATAGGAGGCAGCCTTTTGCCTCAGAGTCACGGGTGCCAATCTGACCCCGGTTACTAAATTCAATTTTTGTCTCATCTGCAGACTGTGTGTGTGACCTGGGGTGAGTCACTTCAGCTGCCATTTACCTCAGCTCCCCAACAGTAAAATGGGGAAGTTCCTTCCTTATTGGATGGGGGGGCTGTGAGGATAAAATCTATTAATGACTGTGAGGTGCACAGATACTGTAGGGATGAAGGTCAAGTAAGTACCTAGATAAATAGAACAAAAGCCCTTATATCACAGTGACACTGCAACTTTTGTTGCGCAGTGTCATCAGAGATGTGTAGGACTGATTGGGCCATGGAGGCTGAACCCCTAGATGTGGGCCAGAAAAGGTGTGAAGTGAGGTGAAGGTGTTTTACCACTGCCCTCTCCCTGCCAGCCCAGACTCTGGGTCTGTTACTTACCCTGTCCAACTAGGCTTTTATGCCATGCTCATCTCTAGACTATCTGGACCCGGCTTAGCAGATGCTCAAAAGCGTGCAGTACTGTACAAACATGCAAGAAGGGAGGTCCCTGCTCTGACGAGCTTGCGGTCTAATGAAGCAATTTATAGACACAGATGAAGGGATGCAATCAGGTGCTTATAACTCTGGAACCTTTTCCCCCATACAATTCCCTCACATTTAAAATGAAAAAAAAAAAAGCATAAATGCCAAGGTCAGCTAGGGTGCAGGATACTGGCCAAGATTGCCCCAGATCGCTCTCCCTCCAGCCCCCACACCATTTCCAAATCCCAAGGGAATCCCTTTGCTTTTATTCTCACCCTTAACCCAGTTTCCTCCATCTGGCACCTGCTTCCCCTGCCAGCCCAGCTGGAAGATGGACTGAGATGCCGGGGGAAGAGAAATGGTCTGACAATGAGATACCAGCGTAACCTCGGGGGTCACCTGGCACCAATGAGACTGATGGTGCTGTCAGCCTTCACTCAATGATGATGAGAGGAGGCCTCCAGTCCTGGCTCAGGTCACTCCACTTCATGGGCTCCAGGACACCCCATTTGTCAAGCAGGACTCTCTAGGGATGGAGGTGTTGGCACACCGTGAAGTTTCAGTCATGCTACATGGACTGGTGGCAGAAAGAAAAATGCGGTGCTCCATTGGGAGCCTCCAAGAGTCCATCCATTTCCCTTCCCTGTCTCTAGTAACATGGGCTTAACGTGATCTTATGTCTTCATGGACGGTTGCACAGCGTCTTAAACTTGATCCAAGAGCACTATTACCTCTCGTACTTCTCTCTTTCACTCCTAATCCCCCACCGTCCCCCTTGACCCCACTCATTCCTCCCCTCCTTCTGCACAACAGAACAGGGCACTGATGAAAAGCCCATCAGCCCTGTCCCTTTTTGTCTTCCAGTTGCTTCCTCCATGGCCGAGAGCTTGCGGGGACAAGGGGATATTCTTGATTTAGAGAAAACCAACCCCGCCCAAACAGCCAAAGACAAAAAGGAACCAGCTCTGAGCAGGGTCCCCAGTCCCTTCGAGCCTCCCATCCCCCAAAGTGAATAACAAAGAAGTGACAAATCCAATCTCTTCAAGATAACCAGGTTAGAAGCAAGGGGAGCTGCCCACCAAGAAACCACCTGGGCTGGGAATAAAAAACTGACATCTGGAAAACGTAGAGTAAAATTGCTAATGTCCCGGAAGGTCAGGGGTCAGCCTGCCAATGCTGAGTAATGCGTTTTAACTGTCAAGCTGTCCAAACCTCTACCACGCACTCTCGCTTATTACTGTCAACCGGGTCACCCAGACTGGAGCCACTCTCCCCCCATGCTGAGCCTTCCCAGGGCTCCCAGTGCAACTAGATGGAAAGATCAAACCTGGATCTCCCCCCAACCCCCTCAGTATCTGAGAGGCCAAGGGAAGTGGGAAAAGCAATGAATGAAAGCATGATGGGCGTTGCACATGGTGAGTTCGTTCTGCACTTCGAGGGTCTGTCTGGACTGGGGTTTCCTTGCTACCCACTGCCAGATCCTGCTATATGCAACTTTTCTTTGGGACTTGCCAGTGTACATGTGTTTTAGCCACTGGTAGCCATGCGGCTTTTTCTCCCCTCCCCACCCCATCCCCCAGCCAAGGCTCTTCCCTGGGTGGAGAGAGGACAGCAACTGCATGATGTTGGTTCCTTTATCTGGGCATGCCCCTGCAGCTTCCTCCCCCTGCCGCTCATCTTACCTGCGCAGGAGCAGTTTGGGGTGATTCTTATTCTCCAGGTTCTTCTCAATCAGGTCTGAGAGCAGCTGCTTCAGCACGTCAGTTGCGTATTCCAGTTTTCCCTGCAGGCCTGTCATGATAAGGGAAGCCACATTGCCACGGTCGCGCATGGAGAAGCTACGCTGCAGCTCCAGCGTCCGGATGAATGTCAGCAGAAACACCTTGTTGTTGATTAGCTGGGCAAAGAGCTTCAAGGCCTTCTCCACATTCTGCTGCCCGTTCCCTTGGACCTGTAAGCAGAGGACAACAATCTCAGCAAGCCACTGACAGAAACAGTGCTCCTATCTCTAACTCTAGTTGCCTTCACCATTGCTGTGAATAAGGCTCGCTGAACACTAATGCCTCTGCTTTGAGGCTGAAAGCCCTACAAGTGACATACATTTTGTACTTGTTCTGCAAAAAAAAAAGTGACACTCCCATAAGTAAATTAATTACTAATTTAGACTATTGCTTTATTATAGAGAAACAGTAAAAAATTAATTGAGGCTTTCAGCCAGTCCTGGTGTTAAGTAATTCATTATGAGTCAAAATGATAAACTACATTAAGCAATTCTTTACTAAACATCTTGGAGCCGTATATATTGGTTCTACTAACGTTATATAATTAAACAACTGTGTAATTGGCAACACATTTATCACTCCTGCAGTTCTGTTTTTCATAAGTGAAACCAATAAAAAGTGGCCACATTTGTTAGAAAAAATCAGCTTACTTGGCAATTTAAATAATAAACATCATATGCGGGACTGGAAAATTTTGAAGATTGGCAATGGGAGAAGTCGACTCAAAAGCAGCCTGGCTGAGTTTAGTGCTTGAATTGTGGCCAGCTGTTTGCTGTCAGAATTTTCATCTAATTCATTAATTTTAATTAGATCTTTTTTTATTATATTAATAATCTCTTATATTTCTACAATGTCTTTCATGTCAAAGGATCCCAAAGCGTAACTTGATACGAACGATACGCAGGGATCCCTTCATCCACCAGTGAAATGCAGCCACCGCTAGAGTGATATACAGTGATTGCTCGATAGCACACAGCACTGTTTGGCCAAGAGCACATTGAACTGGAACTTGAAGGGGGGGATTTATGGAAGCAGAACACAATTACCCACACTGGAATCTGGCCAGGATAGCAGGAGCAACACCTGCTCATGTCAATGATACCAGGGCAAATATAATGACCAGAAGTGGTCAAGGCCTCTCTTTTACATCTCATCCCAAAGATGGTAGGTGAGTCCTCAGCTGGTGTCAATCGGCATAGATCCATGGACCTCGCTGGAGCGATGCCAATTCACAAGAGTTGAGAACTAGCCCAATACCTTCAGGGCTTCTGATGCCAGGCTGGGGCACTAAGTCAACACCAATTCAAAGGGAAGAGTGCTACATGATAATTGGTATTACTTTCTGCAGCACCAGTGTTTGCTTTGAAGGCCTCCCATCCAGGTACTGACTCAACCCAATCTAGTGTTGTTTGCAGGATTCTGAGGGGAACACAGCACAAGGCAGTGAGGACTGAAGTTAGCATTGACACTGAAATTTTAATGAATGGCTTATCTAAAAAAAAAAAAATTGGCGGGGGGAGGGGGGGGAGATGAAAACTGCCGAGGGACAGCAAATCCTGGGCCAGGTCATCCCAAGGTGAAAAGCTCATCCCTTGCGGGAGCACAGTAATAAATCAGGAGCATGGTGTAGCCGGATACCCTTTGCTTTTCTCTCCACAATAAAGGGATTAAAAGAGACTTTAAAAAGACACTGATAAGGAAGGCAGCCAGTTTGCTGCTGGGCTTGCAAGATCCAGGGTGGTGCTTTAGTGATGAAAATAAAAAAAAACAAAACACAAAAACCAGCCCCAGAAGAGAGTAAGAGGAAGCAAGCCGTGTGTTAAAGAGATAAAATGCCAGGCCATTTGTTAAAATGAACTCTGTGCTTATTTCACTTACCCTAGCGCTTCTAATAAGATTCAACGAGGGAGGTGGGAAGGTGCTTCACAGCTCTGTGAGTTTCAATCTAGCTTCCCAGAAGGGACCAGGAAAATAGTCCAAACTACGTAAGCACTAGGAGCAACGGAGAGAGGGAGAGCACGCGGCCAGCCATTTCATTACCTCCAGCTCACGCAGGACGGGGTGGTCCTCAATGCCAGGGAAAAGGACCCTCATGGCATATGTCCGATAATCAAGGTATGGGATCCCGGAGCGATCCAGGTCACTGGTTAATTCATTGATGTCTGTCTGCAGCTCCGCAAAAGCTATTGTGGGGGAGGGGAAGGCCAGGAGGAGAGAGAAAAAGAAGTGCAATCAAAGGGGACCATGGGGAATTGAGTCTAAACAACAGGGGCTTTGGGAACAGCCAGCAGTCTGCCTTCCTGGCAGGCAAATCCAGGACAGCAAATGGGCCATCTTGGGAAGCTGGGTCACTGTAGGACCTCACTGTGTCGCTCAGACATGCCGTCATGGCTGGGAGACACTTTCACAGCAGCAGCAGAGAGAGGGTGTGTGGGTGTGCACAAGTATGTGCAAATACTGTGCAAAGAACAGATGCTGAGAACAAAAGATGTTTGCTAATTTGTATGCAGTTCACACCTTGTGTACAAGCACCTAAAATACCTTGAAAGGCTCCAGTTAGAAATAAGGATACTATTTTTAAATTGTTATGCCTACCACATTCTCTCTCTTTCTTTCTCTTCTCTACAAGTAACACCACTAACCTAATATCACGCTTCAGGGCCTAAAATGCAGGCTGCAGGGGTCAGGAAGTTATTTATCTGTCCATGTATGGTACAGCATAGTCATAGATATTATGGAGGTTCGTGTAATGGGGGGTGGAGGTGAGGTGAAGTGAAACATAAGATGCTGGATGGAGTACTATACTTGATGGACTGATGCTTCCATCCATAGTTTCTAGGACTCCAGCTAGGATCTCCTCAACCATGAGTCCATATGTCTGTCCTACATTCATGTCATTCTTTGCCTTGTTTGCAAGGGCCTCCTCATATTTTGTTTGGCTGTGTGTGCTGATGCAAATTTCAAGAACATGAATATAGATCATTCTCTGAAATTTGCTGCATTCTGTTTATTTTTATTTTTCCCCTTGAACCACAAGCTCCCTTCAAACTAGATGAAACATCTTTTCTAGGATGCACAACAGCAAACCTTCCCAGAATGTTCTTTTTTTTCCTGTCAGAAGTCAGCCCCAGGTTAGCCTGCTGCCGCTTGGCTTCCAGCAAGCATCATTTAATTTCCATCTTTGTATCCCTGCTGGGATGCCAAGCCCAGCCTGCCTTGTTGCTAGGGCCTAGATTCCTACACTCTGAAATTTGTAAGTGACAATTTCAACGAGTTAAAACAAGTACAAGGTTTCTCAAAAACAAATCGAGGAGGAGATTCTTTCTATCCCAAAGGTTCTGCTCTTGCTAGCTCGATGGCCGCTGCTGGGAAGAGTTTATTTTTTCACCTGCAGTTATGCTGCCAAAAGAGAAATGTGATTACTAACTGAGATTTTTATCTAGAGAGGTTATTTGTCTGAACTCCTCAATCTCTTTGATGCAGAGCATGCTGCATAGAAGACAACCTGGATCGTAGCCACATGCACCCCTTGGTCCTTGCATGAACCCTCTCATATGCACCCCACACCACAAGTGCTCACTCTCCTCTGCAAAATGTACTGACTCCCACTTTCTCTGAACCTACGCACACCCCATTTACAAATGCACAGCTCCCTACACCCTCAACACAGGCCTTTGAATGTGTATACATTGATTCTCAGCCACCCAATGTACAAATTAGCTTCTATCCCTACCTTTCACCCCATGTAAAAATGCACATCCCTGACACAGCCCCGCAATGCAGTACCCCCATACACTCACCCCCCACTCCTCTACCGTCTCCCAGAATGTAACCTTTGACAGCAAAGCCAGAGCACAGGAGAGCAACCCTGTGGTGCCTGCACCTCTGCACTACGTTCCCAGCCCGTTTTCTCCTCGGTATCTAGGACGCTATGCTGGGCTCCAGGAGGCAGGCTTCCAGCAGGTGCAGTGTGGACTCTTTTCTCTCTTTGTGGGCCAGGATTATTCCACTTTCTAGTTCTGTCTCATTCCTTGCCAGAACCATACAATTCCTATGGGGTCAGAGTCCCCTTCTGTCCATACGAAACCCCTTCAGCAAGAGGCCATTAGAGAATGAGACATATTGACCAGGCACCGTGGGGCCTGAGCAGTTTCCACAATGTAATCTCGATGCGTCACTTAAGCAGGATCAAGCTCTAATCCTATTCTCCGCACATTAGGCTGTGTCTGCATCCGATACACTCGTTACGGCCTGCTCTAGTTGTGGGGGCAGGCGTGCTTGCCTCGAAGGTGCAGAGACTCTCCCGCTCTCTGAGCCCATGAAGGGAGACACTGACCTAACCTTTGCTCTGAAGCTATAAACAGGCTCAGGAGGCCTTAGATTCAAACCAGTTCAACTACAACATGGTATGAACAGGAGCTGGTTACCAGGGAAACTAGACCTGAGACTAGGTACTAGAGTTGGCATCAAATCAATGGAGCTCAAGGAGAGGAAAACTCTGCTAGGCCATATGAAGTTTCTCAGGAAAAGGGGTCAATTTATAAACTGATTGTCTATTTTTCACCATGGTGATTTTTTTTTTTAATATAACATATCTGCCAACATGTAGAGGAGAAGACGATTAGTTATGCTGAGCAGGAAAGGGGAGAGGTAGAGAAATCTGCATATAACATGAACTCACCAAAGAATAGAGCTCACTTAAGGGCTGTAGAAAATTCAGAGCTACAGTGCCACGATATAGAAAGTGTCTGGTGTCTGTCTGTGTGTATGAGTGTGATTGCGTATGTGTTCACGTGTCTGTGCAGGACTCTGCCTGTGTGTTTAACTATAGCCCTGTCTACACTAGGGGATTTGAGCAAAACATTCCCACTGGCGCTCCCACTGGTTCAACTGCCCTGAAGCTGGGGAGGCCCTAGTGGAGACAAGGCTCTGGGGACTTCTGCAGGTTTTACCACCGTGTCATTTAACTAGCTCAGAGCCAAAAATGCTCACAGTTTCATGGTTCTAGGGCTCCTTAACACTGATGCGGCTGATCTTGTGGGAATTTCCCACTGAAATCCGGTGGGGCAGACCAGGCCTGTGCGTGAATGCATGTCCAGGCATTTCGGTGAGTGAATGTGCCATTTTCAAATGTTCCTGCAATGTAGTTGAAATAGATAAAAGGAGGTGAAGTGGATTTAGCGCTTACCAGTGAGCGAAGAGGAGCAGTAGCAAAGCACATGTTCCTGACTGACACAAACAAGCCATGGACTGCAGCTGCATTTTTTTCCTGACATGACAGCACCTAGAATTCCTCAGAAGTCACCCTGTTCTAGTCATTTGTCAGTGCCGTGACTGTCGGAAATCCCAAAGCGGGAGGCTCTGGTCTAGATTAGACCATTTTGCAATACGATGAAGGGACATAGCCCCATCCTTAACAGAGGCTTGTGTGAGGAATCCAGGCAGAACTTGGACACAAACCCAGGATTCCTTCAGGGGCTACTTTCCAGGAGGATGTTTCTCCTTCTCCTCCATGACCTTAGATGGTGAAATCCAGGCACCTGCCTGTGTGGGCAGATTGAGGGAATCATTAGAAATCCCTGCTTGATTTCTAAAGAAACCAACTGGTCCGACGTGGCAACACTTCCAGGAAGCCCTGCCTGAGTCTGCAACCAATACGTCCTATGAGGGAGAGAGACGCCAGATCCAGGCTAGCTGGATCTCATCTCACATCCCCCTCCGACTTTTGTTTTTCATTTTCATGCTAATTCTGTCCTGCTCGGATAGCCCTGCAGACCCCAGGACACTGACAGCTCTCCCATCGCTGCCTCAGCCCTACCCTGGGGTGAGAGGGGGGAAAAGGGGCTCCCATTTAAGTGGGGCGCTCTGCATCCACAGCTCCTCTGCAGATGCGATGGTGCCAATTGCAATGCGGACACTCTTCCAGTAGGAAAGGAACAGAGCAGTCAGCTCGGGAGTGAGTGAGAACCTCTCCAGTTCAGACACTGGGGGGATTTTCAACTGGTACGTCACATTTACCCAGTAAGGAAGTGGAAACCATTTCTTGCCAGGTCTGTGAGATTTGGAGATGGCTCGGGGCAGTTCAAATGCCTGGGTGACATGGGCAGGTTACACAGGGCTCTCAGAACTACCTGGCATTTGGAGTTGCACCTTTGGCCTCCGTGTAATTTCTGCTAATGTGCACTGCCCCACGTACGCTGGCTTCGGGGAATGCAGTCACGTCAAAGCCCATTCCCCTTTGCCCAGTCCTGAACACAACAACAATGGGGTACTGACCCTCCTTGCATTCCAGGGCCACCCGAGACTCCAGGTTGTCCATCTGCATCTGGAGCCTCTTGAGGGTGAGGTCGTTCTCCCGGGACTTGCGCTTGTAAGCGATGAGGACGATGATGACAATGATGAGAAGCAGGCTGCCTCCCGCCGCAATGCTGACGATGGCGGGCAAGGTCAGCAGGCTGTCCGAGATCACATTCACCGAGCCAGGGGAGAAGACGATGCCGCCCACGTGCACCTAGCCAAGCAAAACACAGGGGGGCTCAGCCAGCGGGCTCTGCCTGCTGTGACCAGATGAGGGGAGGTGGGGGGGTGCAGTTACACCTGCTGGGGCTGGTATTTGGGTGAAGAACTGATCAGCCTTGAGAGTATCACCACCCCTTTCAGGCAAAGCCAGTGTGCTTCCCACGTATTTGATACTCTACATTAACTATAAGCTCTTCCGAGAACCACTGGGTCCCCCGTCCTAAATTCCTTTGTTGCTTAGTCTGGCTTCCCAGAGACATTGGGCTCTCCCCATCTATTCTAGCATGTGCTCTCTCTATAGGTCCCTTCACCACAGTGTGAAGGCACCCAGTTTCTTCCTGCTGCCCCAGGATCTGTCTTGTTTGGTCAATTTCAGCTGCTGCATGACAAGACATACAAGTGCTGCGAATGCAGCCTGGTGCTTTCTCCAACATCTCACTCTGTCCCTGGGTTACGCTGTTCTGTACTGATATCTGATGGAAAATCTCTGGTCCTTGCTTACAAGCTGAAGAAATCTCTTCTCATTTACTCCCTAATATTTTGGACGCTGGAGCAGAAAACGTCTCTCCATTTCAATCTCTCCTCCATCATGCTGGAGGCTATGCTGTTCCTCTCTTGTTCCTTGGCCTGTACTTTCTCTCTCCCATTTCCCATGTCTAGCTTACGGTTACTCATCGTGCACTTGGGAAGACGTTGTCTTTGTTCACCACCTTTCACTGTGGAGAGGTTTCTGCCACTACAATAGCTTTGACCTCATCATGAAGGACACTGGATTCACCCCCAGAGCTACCACTGCTCACTCCTGACACAGTTCCAGCAGTGCTGCTGACCACACTGTTCTGCTCACTCACTCATGCTGGGGAAACTGATTTCTGCCCTAGTGGTTATCTCAGCAGGAGAGAAGAGCCAGGGACAAGAAACAGGGGCCTCTGAATAACTGGTGTTCACTCCTCCTGCTCAGATGCCTGATAGATTTTCTCTGCTCCCAAAGCCTCTTTCTTTATTGATTAGGGAGATCATTCCCCAGTCTGCAAAGATGCCGTCAGAGGACATGGTAAACAGTCTGTCTCAGTCACAACTAAGACCATATGAACACTGGCTGCCTTCAAAAAAAAGGGCACAGCCTATTTGAAACACACAGACAGCTTCAGTTCATGATAAATACGTCAGCCTTTCACTATCTCAGGCTTTGTTCTTATTATCTGATGGCTCCATTTGACTTTCATTTCACAGGCTTTCAACTCCCTTTTGTAAACTGCGGACATTAGAGACAGAGTGACAATTCCACTGGCAAAGGAGTTCAAGGAAAACCAAGTAAGCGGGCTGGGTGAGAAGAGAAAAGAGAAGAGGCTATATATGAAAGCTGTGGTATAAACAGACTGGGGGTTAAAATGGGTTAGGGTTTTCTTGAATGTGCCAAGGCCTCAGATATAAGCAACTGTCAGCAGGGAAGCTCTAGTGTGAATTATACTGTGATATTTCAAATATGTTTTGGTTGCTGAACTTAAAGAAAAATAAATCACAATTAAAGCCTCATTTGAGCTCTACCCAGACACTTCAGCAGCTGCCCACTTGGTCTCTAACGGCATCAGAGAGGAGTAACACTGCAGTAAATGAAAACACAGGAGCTGCCATGCCGGATCAGATGCCAGCCCATCAAATTCAGTACTCAGCAGTGGCCAATCTCTGATGCTTCAGGAAAAGGCAAAAATCCCCCTAATACACCTGGCCAATTGTACCATGCTGTCCACAGAAGCAAAATTCCTTCCTGACCCCTGCAGATGTTACAGGAAATTCAGTTCATGCCTTATAGAATGAACAACAAATAAAGAACGGTGAAAGAATATAAGAAGAATATGATACCTGGTACTGATGTCCTGCTGACACAAATACCTGAGTTTCCTGGAATCTCTAGCAAGCCCGGATAGTAGGAGGGCATCTCCAATGAGAGGATAGAGATTTCCTCCTTTCTAATCCACAGCAATGCTTAACTTCCTATTAAACAGCCATAAAGGGAGGTAAATCCTATCCGATTCCTGACAACTCTAGGAGAAATGGCACTCAGCTGCCTCAGTGAGCCTCAGTGAGCCATGGAAGGAAGGAAGGCAAGCAAGATTAGATACATAGGTATATAAGGTAGCTAGATGGTGTGTTTTGACCTCACCATAACTTTGTGCTGCCCGGTGAGGTTGGGGGGCTCACACAGCAGTTGGGTCTCAGACACAGTGACAGCACAGGGGGTATCTCCAATCAGGACAGTGTAGTTTAGCTTTGCTCCTCCGGAAGCTGGTGGGCACAGATTTTTGCCCTATTGACAAAAGGTAGAGAAGACTGTATAAAGATTCAGCATGTTCCTTGGCCATTACTCATCTGCCCTTTATCCTCAGTCATAGCTTGCATGTGCTTTGAAAGGAAAGCCTGGGTGTCATCCCTTTCCAATTTCCACTGGCTTCTCTCTCCAGTTGGCAGAACATTTCTATATCATTTACACCCTAGGTCCCAATAATGGAGGGTGGAGAAGACAGGCTTAAAGGGGGGTATGTCTACACTAGAACCTTCCCCGCAGCAGCGCTTTGAAGTGCGAGTGTGGTCGTGCACAAGTACTGGGAGAGCGCTCTTCCAGCACTCCTGGTAATCCACCTCCACAAGGGGATTAGCTCCCAGCGCTCAGAGCCTGCCTACACTAGCGCTTTAAAGCACTCACACTTGCTGCGCTCAGGGGGGTGATTTTTCACACCCTTGAGCCAGCAAGTTAGAGCGCTATAAAATGTAAGTGTAGACAAGCCCCAAGGCTATGTCTACACTGCACAATTTACAACGGTGCGGCTGTGCTGCTGCAGCTGCGCCGTTGTAAGGTGTGCTGTGTGGCTGCTCTTTATCGCTGGGTGAGAGCTCTCCTGACAACAAAATTAAAACCACCTCCAACGAGGGGCGGTAGCTTCATCGCCGGGAGCGTGGCTCCTGCTAACACCGGCGCTTTTCGTCGCTAACATGTTTGTCCTTCAGGGGGGTGTTTTTTCACATCCCTGCGCAACAAAAGTTTTAGTGACGAAAGTGCCAATGTAGACATAGCCTAAGCTTGTTGTACTGAGGTGTCTCAGGCCCAGTGTGTACCTTCAATTGACACAATTATGTCAGATAGAGATGTGGCTATAATGTAGACACCGTTATACCTGTGTAAGATGGTAAGGCTAATTTTCTTTGCTAAACCAGAATAAGCTATACAGATATAACCACTTATATACTGGTATAATGGTGTCCACACTTTTTGGGAGGGTTTTTGTGCGTCACTTTAACTATGCTGGCACAGTTAAAGCAACAAAACTTTTAAATGTAGACAAGACCTCAGATTTGTGAGAGCCTCAAGCTAATAAAACTTTACTTGGTACAGTAGAGGCATGATTTTTTACAACACTACTATTCTGGAAAAAGCCCCAGTGAAAACACAGTTATACCAGCAAAAAAGTACTTTTGCCCATATAGCTTATTTCATAAGCTTATTTCATAAGCTATACCTGCAAAAGCACTCCTGCGTCTACATTAGGAGGGTGTGCCAATACCGCTATACCACAACCCTTTTTCTAGTGTAGACAAGGCCTAAGAATGTGGGCAACTGAATTACCCAGAGAAAGTTCCCCGGGGCTCGGGGATTTTTTCCCCACACTGTATAAGGTAAGGAGTTTTTACCTCCTCTTCCTTCTTCACTTAGAAGGTCATAAACTAATGGCACCAAACTCAATCAAGAAATACTTGATGTTGCTACAATATCTTTCAAACCAAGGTGCTTATGCAGCACCATATAAATAGTGCCACATCTGGAGCGTGCTGCACAACAGGGAAAAGGAGGGAAAGTTTGCTCTACAACACTAGAGCAAACCCCTGCTCACACAAAAAGCCCTGCACGGGTCTTTAAAATTCATGCAGAGCTGGCAGTTTTTAAGGTCTCATCTGAAAGACCCTCAGAGTAAAGTGCATTTATCTACTTGGGAAGGGTGAAGGGCTGAGTCAACCTGTGACATCAGGGATCCTGTGTATTTCAAACCTTCCCCTCTCCTCAAGGAGTTTGCCAGCTGACCAGCAACTCTGTAATAAGGTCTTGATCCACAGCCCTGCTCCTGGGGCTTAGACTTCACTCTTTCCCATGCCATTCGTTTCCCATTCCAGCGTATGCAGCTTTCTGAACTAAAGAGAGAGCAACTGGACTGTGCAAACTACTGGAACTAACATTTCCGGCATTCGTACCTTGAGGATGATGGGCGATCCCGGCTTCTGATCCAAAACCCCAGTAGGGCTCAGAAGCTCAAATGTTGGGTTTGGGTAGTAAATAAACTTAGTGTCATTATAGATCAGCAGGGATTGCACGTTGTTAAAGACAAAGCCAAATTCGTCCGGTCGCTCGACAGCATCCAAGCCAGGTCGGTACTCAGGAGTGAGGGGTGGAGCTAAGCAAGTCAGGGTAGTTGTGTTCACAATCTTACAGACCTGGACAGGAAAGGGAAACAAGAGAGGAAGATTAACACGTTGAATGAGAAATCTCTTTTACTGTCTGATCTTTGCCCAGACATACCACCCAGTGGCAAATTAACTGACTTCTATGCAGTTACACTCATTTAGGTTTTGTCTACTGTATGGTTGCTAATTGTCTTTTAAAACCCTTACACTAGAGCTGAATTTGGCCCTTTCAGACTGGAAGATACCTAAGACTCCAAATCTATCCCAGATGAAACAGGCCATTGTCATCAGACTTGTTTACTGGCCTCTATCTGAAATAGCTGCAGTCCTATTCCTAGTGGGACAGGTGCCCACAGCATAAAAGCTACCATTACAGTTGCTGGCCTCGGCACAGGGTATGGGAGGTGAATTTTCTTCTCAGTTTAGAGCTGGTCTTTCCAGGGCAGGTCAGAGACATGGGGTTAGAGGGACAGCATATGGGAAACTGAGAAGGGTCCAGAGGGGTATTACACAGGAAGGACCATAGTTCTACTAACCCACTGGCAATAATGTGAAAGTGTTACCAAAGCTAATCAGTGCAACTCACACACATACACATACACACACACACACACACACACACACACACACACACACAGAGTTGCAAGATGTTAATAAAACCTCTTGCAGGCACTCTCTTTTGTGCTGATCTGAACCTGGCTGCAGTCATTGCTTTTAAAAGCATGGCACTCAGTAACTGTGAAAGGGGTTTCAGCTGCATTTGTTTATCTTATGTCTCTCCCTCTGCAACTTGGCGAGTAGGAAAGAGGAGAGCAGAATAGAATTTGCCTTTATGCTGAGCCTGTGAACAGCAGGTATCTTTTTAAACTTTACAATGCAATGAGTTAGGGACTGAGGACCAAATTCAGAGGAGCCTACACTAGTATGAGTGAGTGTGAGTGGGTGTTACTGACATGTCGTGGGTGGGTGGAAGTGAAGGGCTGTAGCAGGAAAAACAGACAATAAGAGGCAAAAGTGGTGCTTATGGAAGTCAAATCATGTCTCTCTTTCTCTCCCTCACACACACAGGTTGACATAATACAGTCAAGGGGATGTCAGCATTTTCTGAAGGAAACCTTATTTGAAATATTTGCCTATAAAAGTTACCCTTAATGGCTGAAAGCCGGCCAGGAGATTTTGGGAGGAGCAAGTTGAGGGATAGTCTGCATCCCTAGTACCTAAGGCTGTCATGTTATTTGTCCTGGCCAGTACTTGAAGAGGACAGGAATGCCCAAAGGCTGTAACCAGTTATGTGGGTTCTACAGAGTTTTGCAGTCTTCCTTCCAAATCAGTACTGAATTACCAGCACAGCACTAGAGAGGGTTACGGGAGTAATACAAAAAACAGAGTTCTAATCTCTCCTGGTTTCTAATGGCACTAAGTTACAGGGACCCTTGTATGCTAGCTAAATTCTGACTTGGCTAATTGCATTCTGCCTCTCTAAATTCCCTCTGCAGATTCTGATGGATTGGTATTTAGCCAGAATCATTTGCTTAAGCTTGAATCATTAAAGTCTCGTTTTTGGGAGAGTTTGTGTGTCCTCTAAACCAGCACAAGGACACAAGAGTGGAGCTGGAGATAGAGCTTCAAACTGAAAATGGCTTAAGCAACTAAAGAATCACAAACCAGATTGCTAAGTACTTTTTTCTCTTCTGCTGCTCTGTATTTGCCCAACACGCCTTTGAACTGGACCCATAATTAATGTCTGGTCTTGGCTACACATTTGTGATCAGAGACAATCTTTTAATACCAAAGGGACAGAAGAATAATCAACTGATACTGAAGGATTCTAGGTAAAATGAAGGTCAACTCCTGCTGGGCTGAGGATACCCATTGCTCCCCCTTTCCGTATGGGGAAGAGTTTGTTTGGAGGCAGAGCATAGCTTTCTTTGCTAATTTATTTAGAAACCAGGCCCTAAAAAGCTTCAGGGGATGTTTAATTTGGCCTCCCTCCACAAACAGAAGATTTAATTCCACTCAGATTTGTGTATTTAGAATTATCTTTGTAATAATAATAATAATAATAATAATAAAAAGCAGAGCTCAGACCTGAGCATGGGGGAAAGGGAAAAGGCATGACTGCTAAGTAAATAACCCTTCCCAGGATAGCACTCAACAAGTTCAGTCTTTTTGCAACACGGAAAGAGTATTCTCAGGTTCAATTGGTGATGAATGTTAAAGTGAGCATACATCCCATTACAGCGTGCATGGCAGGGCTGGCTCCAGCATTTCTGCCGCCCCAAGCTAAAAAAAAAAAAAAAAAAAAAAGCCGCGATCGGCGATGGCACTTCAGCGGCAGGTCCTTCGCTCCTAGAGGGAGTGAGGGACCTGCTGCCCCCGAATTGCCGCAGGTGCCGCCCCTCTCCCTTGGCCGCCCCAAGCACCTGCTTGTTAAGCTGGTGCCTGGAGCCGGCCCTGGTGCATGGACACTACTTAGACACCGGCAAACCGAGGTTTGCTTCAGCTCGGCTTCCTTGAGTGGAAAGAGCTAAATTAATATTAAGTGTTATTTCTGCAGCATCAGGAAGGACAGAGCACTGGACTGTCTTAAGAGATCTAGATTCAGTCCCCAGCTCTGCCGCAGACCCCCTGTGTGTCCTTGAGAGATTCACCTCATGTACGCTGTGCCTCGGCTCTCATCTGTAAAATGGGGAGGATACTTCCTCACCTCACAGGGATCTTGAGATTTAGGTGCAAGTTTGGGGACGTACAGTTTCTTTTAATGGTTCTCGTGGATTGAGAGCCACTGCTCTACTGCTTAGTCTTGTACCAATTCCACTAACCCCACTTCTATCCTTTGAGCAGAGAGCCATTTCCTCCCCAACATGGTGGAATTCAAAAGACTCCTGAACCATTCACAGAACACCTCAGCAAGCTGGGCCTGTTCTCTTCCCTACATTCGATATTCCTTCCACTCTCCCCACAAAATCTGAAACACCTCCCTTCTTAAAATCAGTCGGGTACGTCTATACTTACCTTCGGGTCCGGCGGTAAGCAATCGATCTTCTGGGATCGATTTATCGTGTCTTGTCTAGACGCGATAAATCGATCCCGGAAGTGCTCGCCGTCAACGCCGGTACTCCTGCTCCGCGAGAGGAGTACGCGGAGTCGACGGGGGAGCCTGCCTGCCGCGTCTGGACCGGCGGTAAGTTCGAACTAAGGTACTTCGACTTCAGCTACGTTATTAACGTAGCTGAAGTTGTGTATCTTAGTTTGAAGTGGGGGGTTAGTGTGGACCAGGCTGACCCGGGAGCGTCTCTGTGCTGAGCAGATCTAAAAAGTCATTTTGCTTCAGAGTGAAAGCAAAACTGTTCCCATGCAGAATGGCCCTTGAAAGTCACTAAATAAGAATAATAAACTGGATTTTTACAGCATTCTGGGCGCCTCGTTCAAGCTCATAAAACATCCAAATGCACAACAGCTCAAGCAGATAGAACAGGACAAGATGAATGATAACCGTCATTAGATAACGTCCAGTCGCTGTGTTTGGCGTCATGGCAGCACAAAGGCATTATTTGGTGACATTATTTGGACAACATTTCTAGCTGCCAAAAAATGCAGAAATGTTTTGTTCAACCCGAAACAAAATATTTTCAACTTTTTCAGTTCAGCCAGAGAAGTAGAAAAACAGGTATTTGCAAGTATGACAGCCTGGGACTACTCCTTTGCCGAAGCAAGGTAAGGGTTCAATCTGTGCTTCCCCTTGCCAGTTCTTAGGGACGAAAGCTCCGCTCAATTTGCTCTCAGGGAGGTCAAGAGAGGATAAAGGACATCAGCAGCCCAGCCAGATACCAACCTGCATCCGTATGCAGTAGGCTGAAGGGTGGAGGTTTTACCGGTTTTTAAGGCAAAAGAAGGGCATGAAAGGGTCTAGCTAAAGAGCAGCATTGCGCACTTGGCACCCGTGCAGTGGCCTGGGTATGCTGCCAGCTGTTCTGCTGAGTGCGCCTGGGGAGAATGCAATTTACATAGTCTGGGCCCAAAGGAAAAAAAAAGATTACAGTTCTATTTGTTCACTTTTTAAACTTTCCATGGTGGTTTATGATATGTGGGACAAATGGTTTACATAAGGGGCTCAGTTAGAGCTAACTAGGAGAGAGGCATCAAAATAAGGCTGAGGAAACACACACAGTCCCATGCACACAAGTCTCCAAAGAGCCACAGTCCAGCTCACGCAAGGGGTACCTTACTTTCTGCACACCAGCTCCCTTCCGCATGTGAGCATCTGGGGCTTTGCAGGCACAGGGGCCACATGTGCATTTCTGTGTCCTGCTGCAAAACTGGGATCAATGTAGCCACTAAAAGCAAGTGCTGTTAGAGACACCTACTGCAGTGGTATGAACACCCCATTTACCAGCAAGCCTGGTTGTTCTTGAACAATTGGTTGGTGTGACCTGCATGGTGCAGCTCCCTGCCTTCCTTTGTCCCCAGCAGTCTTTTCCCCTTGAACCATCCCATGTGACTGGAATGCAAATCTTTCATTTCATACGGTGGAAGGCATCTTAGCAGGGAAGCAGCCTCTCAACTTATCTCGTGACTTGATCATTGCAGCAAAAGGGAAAAAGCAGCTTGAAAGCTTTTTGTTCAGTGGCAGATTCCCTCCTTCCCCCCCCCGGCTCCCATGTGTGCTTGCTGGGCCCAGAGCTGCTATGATAGGAGCTGTATTTATGGCGCGACCGATATAGAGAGACTACTAAAAAAAACAACAACAAACCCCAAGCTGGCAATTTCTCATTGCAAAACTAGCTGTGGGCCTGCACAAAAGGAGCAAGGCAAACTGAGCCTCTGCAGAGCAGCTGGGAATTAATATCTGTTCTGTCTCCCCCCTGAAACATGCCTGCAGAGATGAGTCCTGATGAGCCCCCATGGCTGCTGCCTGCTGGGAGGAAGAAGGGCTCTCAGGCTGGTGTACGGGGCTCCTGAGAGCATGGAAAAACCGAGGGCGATTTCCAAAAGAAAATGAATTTGCAAGGCCCAGGGGAGGAATTAGACATTGATCTTGAGGAGATGACCTAATAGGGCTCTTCCATGTCTAGCTTCTGAGACTTCCTGGCAGTTCTGTGCTGGCCCAGGGCAGCCCCTGTATCGTACAGCCACCCCTGGGTCACTGCAGAAGTCATTGCCCATTGTCTGTGTGTCAAACTCACTCTGTATACTCAGCGCCCTCCCCTGCTGTTGGTTTTTGTGCCTCTCGGATGATGTATAGCTGGGCCTCACAATGACACAAGCGCCATGTGTCTTAACGATCCCCGACTCCCTGCTGCTTCCCGTCACTATGGGCCTCCACGGCTTGAAATACTAACTCTTCCTCAGCAATCTCACCAACAATGCCCATTTGGAGCCGGTCCACCTTGCTCCTCATAGGGCCATTCAGTAGCACGGGGCTGAAGGCACCAACTGCAGAACTCCCAGGCCCATTGCTGACCTAGGGAGTAAGCAGTCAGGTGCAAAAAAAATCCAAGCCAGGCCATGAAAGACAGCTTCCTCTCTTCAGGAGCTGCTGCCTAGGGGCCATGAGGGTCTACGCTGGGGGTGTGGCTGTGGCAGCAAGCCAGATTTGCATGCATTCAGCCAGCCTGCTTGCCAGATGGGGAACTCCACTAAAGGGTTAAGTCAGTGCTAGCACCTGGGGTCCCCAGCTGGTAAACACAACAAACACTAGAGGGTAAAGTTGACCTGAACACAGGCACCCTCCCCTAATGACAAACGAAAAGCTATATCAATTAATAACCTGTCCTGACCACTCTCTTTATTATAGCGGCACTGGGACAAAGCCTCCATCAGCATTACGCTTTACAATTCACTATCTCAGGCATTTCTACCTTCCCTGTGCAAATGAGTTCATCGCTCAGATGCCCCAGTACACAGTATCTCAATCTCCGATCACAGCTCCTTTTAGAAATCCAGTTAAACAAAACAAGCAAACAATTCAGCTGGGACAGTTATAAATGGCAGATGCTTGAAAACACCTAAGAGGCCTTTCTGAGTTTGAGGTGCTTATATTTAATTAGAAAATTAGATCTGACGAGCATTAACCAATACGATTCTTCCTGCTACCCAGCATTTATATAGTGCTGCCAACGTACATGGTGTTTCTCAAAAATGGAGGATGGATTGGATTGACTGTGGGTGGTTCTGAAAAGAATTCATAAAAAGCTATATAAAAATGTAAGATGCACATACGTTCCAGGTGCTTCCCAATGGGATGCAACAGCTGTGCCACTGAATGTATCAGAACAGAAAACACATGGACGGCTGAGCAGGCTGGACTGGTCGAGGCAGAATGCACCTGCGCTGTTGCCCAAGCTACTAACATCACATTGGTTTCAACAGTTACTAAGAGGTAAAGGTGGGGCTACTTATCTCAAGAGGGCTAAAGGGGAAGCCAACTGCACTTTGATGACATCTACTTACATTGACAGACTCCTTGCCATTGTACTTCACACGGATCCTTGGCTCCTGAATCACATCCAGGTTGGAACCCGTGACTGTCAGAGGCGTGTGTCCGCTATAGAGAAGCATGAACACCAGATTAATGAGGTTTGGCGGGGAGAGCGGCAGCAGCGTATAGTGACTGTGCTCCAACAACACAGAGGCTTGTTGATCTCAGAAAGGTGTTTTCTGTGGACTCTACAGGAACTAGGTGACACAGGGGATTAATACACTATCGCTCTGTCTCTGGGGAGGGATGTCTCAAGTTAATTGGATTTTCTGGTCTTGACTGTCCCCCAGTGGAGAGTCACCTCCTACATAACACTTCAAGGCTCGGCACAAACAAAAGCAGCAGGATGAAAAAATAAACAATCGGGACCAAATAAAGAAAGACGGTAGATTAGTCACAGTGTTTAACGATTTATACAGTGAGCCTTCTAAGTAACAGGGTGCTGCACGATGAATGGCATGGGCTATGAAGGGATTGTTATTTCTCCCACTTCCAGATCGCAGCCACCTCTGGGGTTGGGCACAGCACAGACAACACACACCACATGTAGCAGAGGCTTGGCAGGACAGGGATGACAAATAACCTGTCTGGTTAGCCACATGGGAATGTAGGGAAGCAGAATGTCATGAGCCAGGTTAGAATATGGCCATGATTCTGGTGGTAATACCTCCAAACTTTTGCAAAAAGCACCATGGGATCTTTTACTCTTTGGTTTTCCTTCTGCTTTATTTGCTGGAGAGCACCTCCAGTAGCCCAGCACCCCCACCTTTCTAAAGGAAATACCAGCTATGTCTCTTTTAGCATCTCTACCAGTGATTCAAATGAGCCTACAAAACCCCTCTCACGCAAGACACCAACTCACCCTTGATTTTAGGCTGCAGGGAGGACATCACTTTTAACCCGCCTTGGTCTTTTTCCACAGGAGACACTTATTTCTCCCACTGGCCATTTTTTTTTTAAAATAACTGAATGTGAAATTAATGGCCCTGTTTCATCCCTTGTGCAGATTCATGGCGTTACACTGGGGATGAATTTGGCCTAGCTTTTTAACACTCCACACGTCAGAGTGACGCTGCAGCACCTGCCATCCTGTCCCTAGCAGTGAATCTTGGATAAAACAGAGCATTTTGATTAGCATCAGCTTTTTTTTTGTTTGGTTGCTGCTGTTTTTTGTTTCATTCCAGACTCTCCAGAGCTACAAGACGGAGACTTTAATGAGCAATTGTGCACTTTGTCAGCAGATGGGAGTGATCTTGGGGCTTTATTTGCTCTCCCAGAATCTCTGCACAGATTGAGACTGTTGTGATTGCCTTGGTAATTACAATTGGTTTAATAACTCTGGACCTGATTTTCCATCTCAGGAAATGTGGATGCTGTAGATGTTTGGCAAGGACTGATTCAGGACCCTGCGTGGGAGACATGGTATTCCAAATAGGCTCTCTTTTGTCCTTACCTGGTATATCCTGAGAGAGGAGACTGAAGGCATGTCTACACTGCAATGTAAGCCCACGGTTCAAACTCAGGCTCATGCCTAATCCCCCTTCCATTTATACACACATCGCGCTAACCCAGGGATCGGACCCTGGGTCCCAAGGGGATGGAGGGTCTGAGCCTGAGTCAAGCTGGGACCCAGGGTTCAAGCCTGTTGCTTTGCAGTGTACATGCAGTCCCACTTGACTCATGCTGTGGGAGTCCACCAAAAATAACTCTCAGTCCCATGGGCTGACTTTCTTTGTCCTCTGGACAGTCAAGTTTGGAGGACAGTCAAGTTTTCCTGCACTGAGCCACAAACAAAGGGCTAGAGCATCCACATTCTGGGAGGGCGCGAGGAAGTCTGGATATGGGTGGTTGGACTCAGGCCTGCATAATGCAGTTGTAGATGTTGGTGCCCCAGGTTTGGACCCAGGGTTCAACAATTCCTAACCTGGGGTTACAAATGAGTGTAGACGCTCAAGCCCTAGGTTAATTTGAGTACTACTAACACTGGACTTACAATGAAGTGTAGACATACCCGAGGTGTTTTTAAAAGGGTTTTCTGAGCCTCTGCAGCCACCGTACAAGGATGCAGCTTCTAGCCCTCACCCTGAAGCTGAGCATCTCTAACACCCAGTGACTTTCAAGAGAGGGGAGGGTGCTCAGCTCCTTGCAGGATCAAGCCTGAAATAGCAATGTCTTCAATACTGACACAGGTGAAATAAGCCCTGGGTCACCTGACTCCAGCTGGCTGTTGACAAAGGCAGCCAAACAAGCGAAGAGAATTCAAAAAGTATTCTCCCCGGGGGGATAGGTTCTAGGACTCTGAGCCCTGAACCATGTTTTCTAGTAGGTGAGGGACCAGGAAGGAGCATAATAATTTTTCAAGTTAGTGTGGATCCCATGGCATGAGAGTTTCCAGTATGATTCCTAACAGGGATGGAGGGCAAAGCAGGTCACATAAAGGATAAAACAATGCTGCTGCCTAAAAGGCAATCAGAGCAGGTTTGCAAAAGATAAGGTTCCTCCCCTTTATATGTTGTTTTTTTTTGCTGTACATGGGCACATCTGAATTCAGGTAAGCACTAGAGATGGATCCCAACCAGAACACTGGATTGCAGCTTGCGCAGAGCATGGGGTAAATTTGGCTTGGGGATCATCTCCATGTTTGCAAACTTATCCAAACAGCCGGTGTCTGCAGGAATAGCAGCTGCATGGGGGGGCGGGGTAGTCCTTCTCTACACTTCCTGCTTCCCGGTGAACCAGGACCCTGGTAGGAAAGGCCTCCTGCATGGTATTTCAACATTGTCTGCCTCTGGGTGGAATATGGGGAAGAGGGAATGAAAAATAATGGAATACCTTAAAAAACACTCCCCTTTGAGTCCAGGGTGAAGGCCTAGACCAGTTCCCGTAGAATCCAACCAGCTTGCACATCTCTAGTTCTATTATATCTGGTGAGTTAGCTTCTGTGCCATGCACTCGCTCCCACTGGGGAAGGAGATGTGAAGAAGCTGTGAGACTCTTGTTACCTGGCTATGCTCCACTCAGGTTCGATGCGCTGCACTCTGGGGTCATCAATGTATTCAAATTCCAGAGTGCTCTCTAACTGCGCCCGGTCCACACTGACAGAGACATGGATGGGGCCCAAGCCATGTGCTGACGGAGCAGAGACACACACAATCTCATTCATGGACCTCCTGTGAAAAAGAAACCAGAGAGCCGTTAGCCAGAGAGTATCCGTGCTACAGGAATGGGAACCCTCTTACGTTTCCATAGTGCCGCTCCTCCAAGGGAAGGCTCTACATCCACTGCAATCACGACTCCTACCACAAATTCAGCTGTTTCTGGGATGGGATGTGGCAGCTGTTAATAGCCCAATAGCAATGCTGCCCACCAGTTTAGGACAGGAAGTGAATAATGTGCTTTCCAAGTGGGGAGGCAGGTGCTCTGGACACTGAGAATTCATTATCACCACAGAGGAGCAATGAAGGCTCCATGCAAGTGGAGACCCCTCCTGCCTATCCAAAGAGAAAGTCAGACTCCCTGAAATTACTCTTTGTGCCAAGTGGCAGCCTCCCACATCCCTCTGTGAACCTGCTGCCTTCTGCTGGGCATGTGAAAGCAGATGGCTGTTTTCCAAGTGAGATTTGTATGCTTATTCAAAAGCCAAATCCTTCCCCCCTGCCCCATGGCACACATGGACCTTGAAAAGCAGCCAGTCTCAACCTGAAAAGGGCCGGGCAGAACTAGAACAATATCATTACTTTCTTTGCAGCTTTGTTTTCCTATCTCCCATGTGGAACTGGGAATGAACCTCAGGACTTGATGCCTGGTGGTTGGACAGACCAGACCATCTGCTTCTATAAGAGCCCCAAAGAACTGCTACATGGGCTGCTTAGCAACATGCTTAAACAACAGAAAGGGATCAGTTCGTGGTGAGAGTAGGGGAATGAGAGTCAGGACACCTTGAGTTCGTCTCTCAACTCTGCTACTGATTCACTCTGTGACTTTGGGCAAGTCACTTACCATCTCTGTGTCTCAATTCGTTCATTTCTGAGACAGGTCTAATAACACTTGTGTAGTTTAAGAGGCTAGGTCTACACTAAGGGAGGGGGTCGATTTAAGATACGCAAATTGAGCTACGCGAATAGCGTAGCTGAATTCGGCGTATCCTATTCGACTTACCCCGCTGTGAGGACGGCGGCAAATCGACCGCTGCGGCTTCCCCGTCGACGACGCTTACTCCTTCTGAAGAGGTGGGAGTACGCGGATCGATTTATCCGTCTAGATGAGACGCGATAAAATCGATTTCTGAGAGATCGATTTCTACCCGCTGATCTGGGCGGGTAGTGTAGACTAGCCCTAAGTGTATAGTGAAGTTAGTGTTGGCATGAAAGATGCCAGACTGACAGCCCTGGAGATCGAATCCTATATTTATCCACAGATGGCATTGGTAGTGGTAGGACAAATTTGTGTCTCAACTCTGACCTGGAGAGAGGAGAGGACAAGGCAGGCTCTATGGCCCAGTTAGTCCTGGGCCTGACTGCTGGGAATGGCAACAAGGGGAAGGAGACACTTAGTGCCAATCACAACAGAGCTACTTGAAAAAAAGACTTTAAATCATTTGGATTAAATTTGGTTTGGAACCTTGTCTCCCACTGTCTCTTCCATCTTCCTTTTAACCCTTTCCTCTCATCTCCTCACTCTTCCAACTTGATCTATTTTAACAGAGAATACATTCTTCACTGTGTGTGGGGGGGGAATGACTTGCAGGGCCTGTGTGGGGAGTGGTGGGCAAGAGCAATAATTCTTTGCCAACCGTCGTTGCGACAACTTGATTCCGTGAAAAGGAGCCCTCTTTTCATTCCTTTCCTCCACTCATCTCACACATTCTGGGAATGGCACCCCAGATAGTCACACAGCCAGCATTGTTCAGAAAGCGCTCACTGCTCTTTCAGCTGCCTTTTATCTCCCACATCCCCTCATCCCAGTGGCCTTGCACTGGTGCAGACGCTCTAGTGTGCCGGAGATCAGAATTCACAGAGCCCTGCTTAGTCCTTCCATGAGATTCAAAGTGACGCATCACTGCTGGCAGAGTCACTCTGAGCTCCCTGTGATCCGTTAATTAGCTCTCTGTGCTATTATTATGTCGTCATGGTGAATCTACCCACTCTTCCCAGAGACGGGAGAATGGCGGAAGCTGTAATTAGAGGGAATCTCATTAGAAACTGCTTCATCTAATCAGGCTCTCCCTCACCTCTACAACAATTCGAGTTCATTGCCACAAAGCAGGCCAAGGACAATACGGACCACAGTGTGCCACTGCATGGCAAGATGGTGTAATTTATATACTGCTGTTTGCTGTGTTTAAGTTGCTGCTTGTCTGATGTAATTAGAACATGCAGATAATTTAAAGCGTGGCAGGATTTTGCAGGTCAGTATCTGCAGGTGGCCTGAAAATAATCATATAGTTAAGGGATTAGAGTATGAGGCTAATTCTGCCCTTGAATGCACACATGCCAGTTCCTCTGATTTCAAATGCAGCGTGTGCATCTGAGGATGCAATCCGGCCCTATGTTTGGGTAGAAGAGGAACTGATGATAAATAAATGATCATGTTTGACCCTTAGGGAGGAGCTCACTTACACAGGATGATCTCAAAGTGTTTTATACCCCATGCAGGGCCGGCTCCAGTCACCAGCAAACCAAGCGGGTGCTTGGGGCGGCACATTTTCGGGGCGGCATTCCAGCCAGCCTTTTTTTTTTTTTTGTCGCTTGGGCGGCAAAAGCCTAGAGCCAGCCCTGGCAGCAGCAGCGCGTCCTGCACCGGGGGTGCCCTGGGGCCGCTGCGGTTCGTGTCAGGGAGCAGCGCCTGCACCTTATGGCCGGGCGGGCTCCGAGTGCGGGACACTCAGGCTGGGGGCTGCCCCTCGGGACACACGGAGCCGCCTGCAGGTGCCGCAGGGCGGCTGCCCTCCCAGCGCTGCAGCCGGGGCTTGGCGAAGCGGCCAGAGCCACCCAGGGACTGCGGCAGAGAGGCCAGGAGCAGCAGCAGGAGCGGGGTCATAGAGGGCGGGGTGCCGCCGTGCGGGGCCCGCGTCCCGCTCTCCGGGGCTCCGCTCCCTCGGGGCTTCCCTGTCCCGGCTCCTCAGCCCCCCTGCCGGGGCGGTCCCCCAGCTCGGTCCTCCCCGGTCCCGGACGGTCCTGGAGGTGGGAGCCCTGGCTGGAGGGACCCTGGGCTGAAGCGCGGCCCGGGAGCCCCACTGCTTACCCCAACCCTGCCAGTGCTGGACCGGCTGGAGGCGAGGGGAGAGCGGGGGGAGTCAGCGCTGGTGGGGGGAAGCACAGCACTGGAGCGGCAGGGGGTGCAGGTGGGTGGGGGGGGAGAGCCCAGAGTTGGGGTGGCAGGGGGTACGGGTGGGGGGAAGAGCCCAGGGCTGGG